TTCCTCCAAGAACTTAGCAACAATTTGGGTAATCTCGGATATAGCATCACAAAGCAAATACAGGCAAGGTGGCACAGGATCCACAATGTTCAATGGGTATTTACCCTGCAAGGGTCTTAAAAGCAAATCATGCCGAAGAGACACAAATAAATGAAATTGAAAATGATATGATAGATTGTATCTGGGCTGCCACAAAAACAGAGCCTTTCATGGATGGGAATGCGTTTATACCTTCCAAGGAGCACCTTAGAAGGGAAAGCATTCACTGTAGCCAAGAAAAAGGCCCTTCGCTGGGAAGGTAACATGAGATTGTTAAAATAATGCTAGTAGTTGAGTCTTATCCTTAATCTCTACATCATTCCTTGGCCTAAATGAGATTAATTGTAGGACATTCAGTCCACCCCAGGCACCTTATAGTTCCCCAGAACTTGGGGATTTTCCCAGAGATCTTGCAAGCAGTTCTGCCAAGTGCCTCATTAGCCACTGGTGACAGGCGATGACATGGGCTCTTGATAAGATTGCCACCAAGTGGCCTGTCTCTTGCTGATCCAAGATGGCCCCTGGTTTCCTGAAGGGAAATAAACAACTGAAGACGATTGAGTGCATCAGTGGAGGAAGACAAAAAGTGAATCTGACCAAGAACAGGTTTGAGTTCAAGGTCAAGTCTATTCTGTGGCAGCAAGGGAGACAAAGTATAATTATATCTTCTGCCATACTGTGTTGGTGAGCTCTTGTCCAGGAGCCTTGTTTAGGTCCATTCCCTTTTAGGGAAAAGGCATTAGGTAGATCTTTCACTGGGTAGCTATGGCCATTAGGACAGAATTTTGCTAATATAATTATTTGGATTCACCAAAATCCTGACTTCGCATGGGCAGAGTCAGTTGTGGTGATTGGGGCATTGTCTTGGTCTTTGAACTCTGATGAGGTAGATAGAGTAGTCTTCCTGCTGCCTGGCAACTTGTCAGCTTGATCTGTGGCTCTCTTGGAAGAGTGGACACAGATTAGATCTAGAAGGTGCTCAATGACTCATTGCATGAGAGGATGATGGCATGGCACTGAAGGAACATGGTATGCCCCCTTCTCGAGGGGCCCTCCCCAGATCCATATGTATTTGGTGACTATTGCCCTGATCCCAGTCTTTCTTTTGGGGGGAAGGTTATTGAGGCTGTGGTCAGAGTTCAACCAGAGAGCACCCTAGAAGAAGAAGATTATCTGGACCCTTTCCAGTCAGCATACAGGCCTGGATAAACAGGGCATTGGTCACACTGATTGTCTTGACCTGGATGTGCAGGAGGACATTTCTTCTGGTCCTGTTGGGCCTTTCAGCAGTCTTTGATACCATTGACCATGGCGTCCTTCTGCCTGCAAGGACTGGGAATTGGGGGCTGGGGGCAGTGTATTGCAGTGATTCCGCTATTTCTAGTCAGTGGTTGTGAAGGAATGAGAGGTCAGCCATGCAGAACTTTGTTTGTGGGATGCTTCATATATAGATGTTAAGGGGCCCCTGCTGTTAACATCTACACGAAGACACTGGGAGACGTCATCCAACAGTCTGAGGTTTGGTTCAA